AGAGATTCGAAGGTCGGTTCAACCAGAAGACGACGGCGGATTCCTCTTGACCAGCTGTCGATTGGCTTTATTGGAATATTGATGCTGATGCTGTTTCCGAGGAGTTTTCTTTACTCGTTAGCTTGAATTTTGTTGTGACAATGCTACCTCGCTCTAATGATGTCCGTCATATGACGGACGAAAGCTCAGCACGTTTTCACCGGAATCGAAGGAGATTGCCTCGGAAACAGCGTTAGCATGAATCTTCCAGTAAAGCCAATTGACAGCTGGTCAAGAGGAATCCGCCGTCGTCTTCTGGTGGAAACGACCTTCGAATCTCTTCACTCAACACTTCCACTCGAAATGGAAGTAAGCTCAACAATTATGAAACAAGAGATTCTTTGAAACCCAACTTTTCCCGATAAATTGCTCAAAGCTCATGAAGTTTAAGGCTAAGCAAACCTTTGTCTACTCAAATTGCCTGACGAATAGATTAATGGCCACCAATTATGATAGGATCAGGAGATAAAGGCAACTCGCCACTCGAAACGAGGAATGGAAGGAGTATATTTCGACTCAGGTGCAATACTTACTGAGTGTAGTGATCGAACTAGATATGTCTCGAAAACAACTAAAAACGAAGAAAATAACGGTTTAGTCTCAAACTAAATAACCTAATGGGAGTCTGCGTCGATGCTGTGGCCTTTTGTGTGGTCGCAGTCTCCTTTCGTTGTATATAAGTTGTTTGTTCTTGTTTTTGCAAATTGGTCATATTGGTATGAGGACTTAGATCAACGCGCCTAGCCCGGAGTCTCTTGTATGCATGCTAATTTCCAGAGTCGGACCATGGACGTGGTACATTCCAAGATGTTTCGCTGGCATATTCAGTGAATCTTGCCATTCTTAGAACCATATAAATAGTCAAAGAGACAAGTGAAGCCGATCCTTTGACCGAATGTGTGCCCCGTATTTCACAAGGTCAAACAACTTCTAGGCACCCTTTTGATATGTCATGATCGAGTCCTCCATCCGACTAAGATACCTTGGATGCCCTTTCAGCCATTGCATCAGCAATCATAATTCCGAAACCCTTCTCCTTCCAACCCCTAGAAATTAATCAATGGTTATCATCGTCATCAGCTACTGGGATTTCAAACTCTAAGCTTATATTTCTCCTGTTGTTCAATTTCATTGTGGGTGACATTATGATTTTCGTAGTTATATTTTAAAGCCTGCGAGTGTGTAATGACAGCCCTTTGGCTCCTAGATAAAGTAGGCCTGGTATTCATATACAATAATAAAAAAACAATTTTAGCGATCAACCATATTATTCATTGTGTATCAGGCTTGATTTGGCATTGAAAAAAGGTATCCAAAAAGGTGTTTATCAACAAGGCTTAACTGCAGATGAATACTTCGCCCCAGCAAGCAAAGCAAGATCGGAACTTCGAATGTGGGAGGAAGGCACACTAAGTAGCTACAAGCTAGGCAAGGCTCTTTCTTGTAGAGAATTTTTTATCTATTGTGAACCGTGTATTTTCCATTAATTTATATACGTTACTTAAATGTTTTAAGTAGTATGCTGATTACCGTTATTATATGACATAATGGCACGATAATCATTCGGGATGTAGAGGCGATGTAGAAAGTAGCAAATTTTACTCAACCACATTTTGTATCTATGGTGAACTGCGTGCTTTCTAACAGTCCTACTGTCACTGAAATCCATTAAGTAGTATGGTGGGAACTTGCTTTTCA